TAATAGTACATGCCATATGTCACGTTAGCCTGAACGTTCGCATAAAAAGGAAAAAAAAAAAAAAGGATAACACTGAGAACTTGGGCCGCCTGTGAGTTTACGTCAAAACATGAAATTTTGAAGGCCTACTGTTTTTGCGAGTCTACGGAAACTGGCGCCATCACGCAACGTTTTGAACAACAAATCGGCCATCGTAGTCTATACTGGGGACCTCCTCACTGGCATGGACTTTGACACTATATCTGTCTGTGTACTGTGTGCAACCTCGGTTGTTCATGAAAAATGTTGATTTTAGCGATAGACAGAGGTTAAAAGTCAGCTAGTTAAGTCATTTAAAGTATATATATGAAAGTGACGGTGTCGAACGCACTCATGATCTTTGATTACTACTAGTAATTACACATGAGAATTTACTGCTGAGTAACACACTGGATAAAGCCCTACAACACAGCACTATTTACGAGAGCAATTGTAATCTTCTCTCACTGTTCAATGCAGTTATTATTTTTTTTTTTTTTCTAATCTGCATTCCTCTGTGTTCATAAGTTAGTGTTTATATTAGTCTGGAAATACTGTACTAAGCTCTCAATGGATGGTACTTCCAACAGTGCCCATGAACCTGAGGGATGGCTTGTACACATTCGCTTCTTGCATAAGAATCAAATAACTTATAACTTCCATTATCAGTATGATAGATACTGACGGTAACAAATTCTATTGTCAGAATAAATGAAGAATAATTTTGTGACAAGAGTGATTCAAAGCCCTGTCTTTAGACAGACATACTCTACTGATATCAATTACCGAATCACAATGATATAGATTACCAGCGCAGCTTTCACCATAATAAAGCTGGTAAATTGTTTTTCTCAGACATAGCAATCTCAAATCATTGACGGTAATTCTGTTTGTATTGAACACAAAAGGGAAGGGAAATAACCACCGTACTAAAGATAGCCGTAGATAACGCCATTCTTGAATTATAGGACTCGCATGACTTCTTTGCTAGCCCTTTATTCAAGGGAGAAAAAAAAAACAATTAAATTTAATCGTGACCTTTAAGAAAGAAGGCTGTAGTTAATTGTGTTCGTATCTTCATGCCCATACATATCTCGATGAAAGTTCCAGATTAAGACTATTACGTTATCGGAGATTTCACAACGGTTACGACTGATGGTGCAATAATACAGTTTGTGTTGATCAAGTGATTTGGTGTCTACAGTAATCAATGAATCATCAAGGATTGCTTTGGAATGTGCACTGCGTTGCGACTGTAGTGCNCAAAAGTTGTTGAAACATTAATACAAGGACAATGTTACGGATATTGTTTTCTTTACTTGTGTGTAAAATATATTTTCTTTTGGTTTTATCGAAGCGTTGGATTCGAAGGGAAATAATAAAAACGCTAAAAAAGGTATTAAGTCAGCCATGGAATGCGCTGACGTTGCAGCTTTCACTTTCGCTACGTGACGAATCAGATCGCGTTTACTTTACAAGTTTATTTCGCCAGGAGCTACAGTCTTTTTAGTTTTCCAAGTATTTTTCGTATTTTCAGACAAGAGAAGTGAATTGTTTTGCTGTTTTATTGAAGCGAGTTCAGAGATCGGAAGGAAAATTAAATATTTGTAAGCCAAGCAAAGAACGTGTGAGAACGTACAAGGATTACGTCATTGGTAGGGAAATAACCACCGTACTAAAGATAGCCGTGGATAACGTAATTCTTGAATTATTTGACTCGTTTATTTGACTCGTTTAATTATTTGACTCTCTGTTTAGAAACAGCTAACCTTGGATATATCTAGGTGAGGTAGAAGCCAACAACACTAAAACGACACAAACATGGAACGTCCGAACACAAAGTTCTAGAATGAAATGTTTCCAAGGCACACGGAAGAGGTGTTCAAGAATTGAATGTTCTACGTAAGGGATTTAACCCTGGCTGAGACTTCTTTAAAGGAAAAGAAAAATAATTTCTAATTATTTGGCTCCATAACAATAAAAAATGTTATTTAATTACCAGTCTCATTTTTGAGTTGTAAGCCCTCAAAACTTAAACGTTGGGACTTATTAGTCAAATGGATAATGAATTCCGCTTTTTCTAAAGTTAATATCGAACCTGATGACTATCAGAACCCTTAGCGTTTCAGTTCGTGAGTTAGAGCATATGATAGGTTGTTTTCTATTGAAGTACTGTACTATTACATCTCAGATGTATGTGTTGACACCTTGGTGGCAACGATTCGAAAGTTGCAAAGTAATCATTAACGTACTCGTCTGTCGGATCTATCTCATCCATCTAGATTCGGTTCCAGAATATTGAAAGAGGGAATTCCAGGAACAGCAAGAACAATACAGTAAGATGTTGAATCTTTTTGCCAGTCAGAGAAATAGTACAGCGGTGATGCTACGAGCTTGTTTGCCAGTAGCGGTTTCACGGAACCAGCGCAATACACACATCTTGAAGGATTGTCGTCGCTCTATGTCCGTTGACCCCCAGCATACAGCGGTGAGTAGTTAATTCTTAGCAATAACCAGCTTTGTCACATATAGCCACTTTTGGGAGATGACAAGATTAATTAACCAAATCTGTGTTAATCGGTGTTATTGGCTATCCGAGAGTAGAAGATGGGACTTCCTCGCCCACTCGGAATGCCATCTTTAACCCTTGAGAAAATGATGTCCTACACTACCTATCTCGGTCAATAAGCACGCAAAAATCATAAAACTTTTCTCGACAATAACACGTCATCATGACCTAACACTTAGTAACTCGAAAGTCCACATTTATGGATATACAGGGCACCATAACTAGGTTGACTACTAAGGGCGCCTTATAGTGGAAGGCATAAATTTTCTAGTAGTAGAGACCTCTCGTTGTATTCTGAAGTTCTTTCCTCTACGAGATTAAGGGCTTTTTGCACCAAAAACAAGGATGAAAAACATATTAAATAAATAATAACTATAATGGATAATAAAACCGGTATTATCCATACATGCCTGCTTGTATGTAGGCCCTTATCGCAGTTCACAGCTCTTTCATAGAGGCGTGTAAATATTATCACTGATGATAAAGAAGTATCCACAGATACGAAAACTTCAAGATAAATTGCATGTCCGCATTAGCTGGATTCCATGGGGAGGGGCACGGAGGGTGAGGGTGAGGAAAGTATCAAAAGTTCCAAAAGCTATCAGTTGCGGTAGTAAATACATGCGTGTTTTGGCTGTTTTGCTGGGAAAATATTGTATCAGATTTTCATTCGCGTATCTGGCGACCACAGCAAATTATTAACAATTATTCCTTGCAGTGGAGGAGGCTGCTGGTGGCTATTTACCGAGCCGCGAATGTTTTAGTATTTACCAAACCAGGAGATGAAACACTTACAAAAATTGACTCAGAAGACTGCAGAAAGTCTTTCGCGAGAATAGCCTCCCACAAACAGTGCAGGAGTGCAAAAGAGTCATCTATATAAATCCAATGGTCTCTTCAGTCGGTGGCTAGTGGTGGCTCGTCACCACAGCTAGCCACCTTCTCTGCGGCGACCCCACTGTCGAAATTGAGGACCAAACGATTTCAGTGGGACATTTCACAGATCAGTTGGAGCACAAGTTTGCCAACTGGTATAATGGATGCATTCATACTTTTATTTTTTGAAAAAAGTAATCAGACAAGCAGAAGGAAAAGACCAATGAGTGCTTGAGTGAAGTAAGGAACCGTTTAGCCTCAGTTATTCTCATGTTTTCTTTTTTTTTTTTTACTTAAGTGAAGCTAAGCATGATTTCACCCTTTCTTCAGGGAAATTTGGCTTCAAATGGCCGTTTTCATGTTTGGAGTCTGATCAGCAAACAGGGATACTCATTACTGGAGATTGTAAACTTGGTGGGCGACGACGGTCCAAGCCTCAGGTGTACTGGAATGTACGATGAAACGCCCAGTAAGTATTTCTCGCTTGTGCTACAATAACCCTTGTCAGACCAGACGATCTGGGAACGGGACCTCGAAGTTTTTGAAATTGTTTTCACAGAGGTATTGGAAAAGTCGCCAAATTTCTGGTTGAAAGCACTTTTAAAATCCCATACGTGTACAATTGGTGAGGACCTCCTGTGGTCTGCAGGTTCAAGCTCTGTCCGAAGACCTTGTGTTGTGACCTTGGGCAAGACTCTTTACTCTCAGAGTGCTTCGACTCTCAGGCGTACAAATGGGTACCGGCGAATTTATGCCTGGTTTAACCCTGCGATGGAGTAGCATCCCATCCAGGGGGGAGTAGAAATACTCCTAGTCGCTTCATGCTACTGAAACCGGGATAAGCACCGGCCTGGTGGGCCACTTGACTCTTACACAGACTTAACCTACCTTACCTTACCTCAGCAGCCTTCCCTCCTGTCAGAATAGAATTAATAGGTTCTCTCGGTCATTCGATCACAGTGGGTTTTGCCGAGCTAATTTTCACTTCTTTGATATGGATTTCTTCTTTAAATCCAAAATCTAGGCATTACGTGACACTCGCCACGCCGAGAGTTGTCCCGGTAGGGAGAGCCAAAGCGTGTATATGAAGAAACGTTGTCCCGCTTGCCAGGGTTACCCTACCTGCCGAGACGAGACAACTCGCCCACCCGAGTTGTCTCGCCCCCCGATACGTCAACGGTTGGTTGAATTTTGCAAAGAAATAAGTAAAAAGGTACCTCGGCCAGGGTAACTCGGGGGAGGGTTGTCTCGAGTACCCGAGATCATATAAATGGGGCCTTAGTGAGGGCTTGAAAATCAACTCTCAACCCCCTCCTCTCCCTGGCTAAATAGGGTTTAGATCTCCAAAGATCATTAGCGATTCTTCCGTCTTTGTTGCAGGTCTTGTTAATATGATAAACAGCACGGAATTCCCGACGCCGTCGGTCAGCTTTTTAATGACCTTAAACGGAACACAGTACTATTTGTCCTTCAGTGGTAGAAAAGTTGTAGCGAGGGTTAGTAAATTTATTTTCAGCCCATTCAAATTTACCTTACTACTTGCCTCGTAAATACACCTGATAGAATACGACGCGACTTTATAGAAATATGGGAAGTCTGAAGAAGCGTGTCCATGATCTTGAATATTCAAGGTTGTTTCATTGTGGCATTCAAATGATCACAGGAAACAGATCACAATGATTTAGAAAAAAAAAAACAGAAGTTTAGCAGCTCTCGTAAGCTTGTAATTCTCTTTATTGTTAGCAGCTGTTATTGTTTTAGGGCTAGGGGCATTGTTTCTGTTGTTTGTTCTGTTGTTCTCTCAAACGGTAGCAAGCCATTCAGGTGAGACCTTACGA